GAACCTGGGCATATTAGCCTCATATACCGTTTCAACTGACCGGAGAGAAGGCCCCATCTATAGCCAGATAGGTCTGAACTTCAGCTGATAGTCATAAAAAGAGTCAAATCAACATGTTGAACCATTGAAGTAAAGTAGACTTGATATCAGCCGCACCTACTTGCAATTATGCGCAGCCTCATCGCCACCGTGGTCGTTGCCTTTGCAACACAGATCTTCGCAGCATGTACCCGCGAAGTCCTCAAATCAATCACAGACGAATTCCTCGCCGCTCAAACTGCGGGACAAACAACTTTCCCTTCCCTTTCTAACACCGTCGCATACACCGAAAACCGGAAGAGCGTCGACATCAAAACTGGCATCCTCTCCAAACCCATGAAAATCGACCATGCCCGAGCCCAACACGACACAACTCAATGCGCTGCATTCACTGAGTTTATTGTCACCAACACCGCCGCGCCGTATGTAATCGCAACGCAACTCCGTCTCGACAACAGCACAAAAGTCTCGCAAATTGACACCATCTGGACAAGCAAAGGAGATTGGCTGTTCAACGTCACAGGCACATACTACTGGGCCACGCGCGAGAAGTGGGATCCCATCCTCGCCGCCAACCGCGATACGCGTGCTGTCATCAAAGCAGCAGGAGATGCCTACTGTGACCTCTTCAACAACAAAAGCGTCACAGTGCCCTGGGGCTCGCCGTGCGCTCGCCTCGAAGGTGGTGCGTATACAGGCAAGGGTGAGGCGACGGACAGATGCGATGTCGGTGTTCCGAGCGGTGTACCTCTGGTAAACAGGCAATATGTTATCGATGAAGAGTTTGGAACTGTGGATATAATCATGGATTTTGGAGGCGTTGCTGGACAGGTTGGGGCCGATGGATTGCCGGATAGTCATGAGTTCAGGGTTGAAGGGGGAAAGTTGAGGTACGTGCATACGCTTTCAAGCTGTGGTGGGAAGGCGTGCATGTAGGTTTTGGATGCATTGATGTGCGTGTGTGGGCATATGAGGGTCAGGGGCTTGGGCAATGAGCAGGATGAGGTTGAATGTTCGATGTATATGAGAACCATGTGATGGTTACCTGCCAGCAGGGCAAAGGGGAACTCCAGCCGTATCAAAAGTTAGTATTACTCTTGCATTCTTGAGAGGCCGTTGTTACGCTATAGGGGTTTTTAGGTCATAGGTTATGCTAGGAATAATCCCGAGCCCAACAGAGGGCTCACTCCTCAATCATCCTTACCACTACTCTCGCCATGTTCAACGTGTGCGCACAGTTTCCCCTTCGAAACTCCATCAGTCTTCAATCCCCATACCACATCACCACATCTCCATCAGCATCATACCAAGCCTCTGCACAACCTCTTACGTCCAGGTAATCCACCCACTCATCATTCTCCACGGCCAGTGCTTTCGGTACTCTCTTCAGAACACCAGATGCATTGCCATCGAATCCGCCAAGAAGTGACCTCTCTGCTTGAATTGTCTCCATCTCGTCTCGCACAACGTGGTGGTTGATGGATTCGCGGACATGTGGAGCTTGTGGCGCGTCTGTCATGACGACATCCCCAGACCCGTCGATGGAAGAGGCGCCGTGTATGATTCCATTTCTGCAGACGAGTCTCCTTTCAACGAGAACAGGGTCAACGTAGCTGTGTAGACGCCAAGTTTTACACTTAGAGGTATGTGTGAATGCCCAAATCAGTACCTCAGGTTGGGTCTGTATTGCAAGCTCACAGACGCCTGTCAACCTTGCAATCTCGGTGCCGCTGATAGTGAGTGGCCATATGAAGCTGCTATCCTCGCCATCGCGTTGTCTTGGTCGATCAGAGGCAAATGGCTCATCCCACTAGTTTAGCCAATGGTTCCTCTCATGTCCCAGTGAGACCGTCGTAGAGGCATTATAGGCATCCCAGCTCTTAGCGTTTTGCTCCATCTGCGATAGACGAATGACGTCTGGAGGAACGCTGTACAATAGCAAAGTATCGCCGTAAGCCACGATGGCGCGGACTCCCTGCGACAAATCCGCAGCCGCACTATACAGCCTTGGTACAGCGTTCTGTTCTGGCGGAGTGAACGTGATCTTTCGAAGAAGCTTCGTAGGTCCGCCAAGAGGTGCGTCGCAGCCTAGTGTCAATAGGCCGTTGACAGGGTCGATAAACAGGACGTGATACCCGTCACTTAGCGGAAGCGCATGATAGTGATCACAACTAGGTGAACCTGGACGATGCGTCGCAGAATCAAACCCAAATGAACCCCAGAAAGACGCCATGGTGGGCCGGCCGAAGAACTTCCGGCTGATGGCAGGCCGATCTTCTGGATGTGCTGCACTGGAAATAAGACGGAGCTTCTTGGCAGATTCGAAGCCTGGTCGTGGCGAAAGAAAGTACAGGTGATCGCCTGCTGAATGTTAGGCGCATGGTAGACCCAAGAGACCTGTACTTACTCGGCGCTGTGAGCGGAAACTAACGACTCAAACTCTGTCCTGTGAGCGCATCAATCCAATGCAACTCAATTCCTGCTGAACATCCAAAGGCGACGCAGCGACGTTGCGGGCAGATAGAGACACTGCGTGGTGGATCGTCTTCGGCGCAGAGATGGCGGTATATCGTCGTGGTTCCTCTTTCGACAGGGACGGTGTGAACACATGACTCGAAGGTGCAAAGCCCATGGGCAGAAGGCCTTCGTGAGGGTCCGGAAATATTGAGGTTCCATGCGTGATTGACGAAGTGTTGATCGTGGGTTTGATGATCGTCCGTATTGTGGAGGTTGATGCGCTGGTTGTTCGACCGTACGCCAATCGTATCGAAGGTTGTGGGATCTCGCTCTTGGACGAATGGACGATGCATTCGAGCCGTGTTGCGTCCTTGAAGACTCATACCAGCCTCATAGTCATTGATACAGCTAGTCTGAATAGACGCAGATGTGGTGACACCCTTCTCCGGCCCATCAACATCAACATGTACATCGACGGAACCGTTGCCTCCGACTGTGCGTCCGTAGTGCAGCTCACAAACCAGGCCCATGCGTCCTTCGAGGAGCGCAGCGATAGCGTGTCGACCAGAGGAAACGTCCATGCTCATTTCAATGACCCTTCTTGGGCATACGACGCTGGTAATGGGCACCGGAAGTCCACTCTCGAGGTCGTAGATGTAGATTAGGGTTTCTCGTGCGACACATACGAACCGACCGCAGAGACTTGTGGAGAATACCAATCCGCTAGCATACCCATTGGCTAGCTCAGTGAAGTCAATGTCAGAGCGTTCCACGATAGCAGCTCTGTTATCCAGTCCGTTGCCGCTCCATCCAGATGACAAAGCACACTGCCGAGCAAGGTATCGACTCAGTGACCATTCTTCGCTATGCGAGGCAGCGGTCGCAATAGGATGGAAAGCGGCACTATGCGCTGTGGAAGTAGTATTTCCAGTGCTACTCAGCCAACCACCTCTGCTTAGCATTGCATTGAGCAGTTTCTTATCAAGACTTGCCCGCATCCAGTGTCGGCACGTATGGCGTACGGCATTGAAATCTTTTGGGCCGAGGTAATCGTATACGTGCTGAAGAATCTCAACTGGAAGGTGGTATGAGTTAGGAAAGGTCGGTGGTGCTGCCACGCTCAAAGCAAGATACCAAGCGCGATTTGTCAGCCTCAACGCCTTCCATGCAGCCGTATTCAAGTACGGTGAGAGCAGCATAGCAAAAGTACGAACCGGAGACGTAGGTGCGTGCCCAACAAGATTGGGATTACTGCACGTAGCATGACCTTGTGCAGGAGTAAAGAATGGAGAGCCGTCCTCAAGCGCGATGACAAAAGGGCTTTCATCTTCTTCCGACGGTGTGCGAACGCCGAGTAGAACATCAGTCACAGTTCGAGTGATGCCTTGATCGGTACCGGGCTCCAGGATTGCATCCTCAATGATGCTGGCACTGTCGAGCATTGAAAATGAGTCGGTCCGCGCTCGTCGTAGTAGTTGTACGTCGCTATTAGTTTCTGCGAGACTGGGAAGGCGAGACAACGAGTCGCTGTAAGACCCTACGGAGCGGAGGCTTGGTCCACTGAACATGAATGTGGCAGGCGAGACCATGTCTAGGCTGGGTACTGAGCCGTATAACGAGGACCCCGGTCTGGACCCAAAGCTGGATGCTCGCGATCTTGCTTCCGGACTGTCTGCTATCACATTACGATCTGCGGCGCTACCGAAGAGCGAAGTGATGTATCTGTGAAAGGCCACTCGCGGCCTAGATTGTAGACGGGATGCGAGAGCAGTATTGGAACGGTCAGCTTTGGCAACTCGAGGTAAGGTCTTGCGACTATGAGGGATACGGGTTCGTGAAGGTCGAGGAAAGACATGGCGAAGAACTTCGGAGCGTCTTGGGGCTGGCGATTGCGCTTTGCTTGTATTGCTTGGGGTGGCTTCGTCCAATGGATTCGTCTGCGATAGGGTTGCGTCAGCCAAGAGTGGGGTCGTCATTGCGTAGTCCATTGCGTGAGACATTTGTTCGCGGCGGGAACGGGGCGGAGTGAGAGACAGTATGCGCGTGGTTGGCAATTCCGAGAATGAGGCTACCCGAAAAGGTTCGAGTTGGATGATAGGAAGCGCTGATTCGGACTTGGTTTCCGCCACCCCACGCGAAAGGTATATCTGAGAAGACGTGATTGAAGCACCCCCGTGATGGAGGTGCACCGTTGGTTCAAGGTGAGTTGCTGATAATAATGACCAGGAAGGAGACCAGAGGAGTGTTAGCCAGTTCAGAGGATGTGACTCCTTTCGAATGACGAAAGAATGCGTGGCGTGGTATGGGTGTCGCGTCAGAAGTGCCTGCGGTGAGTGGGTGAAGAACGTGAGGTACAACGGGGTAAGAACATAACCAAATTCATTGCGGTAGTGGGTATCAACAAACACAAACCAGGAAAGAACGACGACTATACAAGGTGGTAAGGATGTCCGATGCATACAAGAAGGAACATCCCTAAACTTGTCGAGGAAAGTGCGCTTGGGCTATTCCCAGCTGCCATTAGCATCATCGGTCCCAGATCCATGAGATCCGTTCTGAGGCCTTCCATGTTTCTGTAGTAGCCATACATCATCCAAAGGCATGATGATACTAGGGTTCTGGAACCGCAGGCCACGTTCACGGGCTTCATCTAGTGTAAGTCTGCCTGCTTGCCCGTTGGCAACCGCTTCTTCTTGAACGTCGCGTCCAAGCTCCGATTGTTCCGGACTTCGCAGGCTCCGTAAAGCGATGAACTTCATCAGTGGCCGATAAGTGCGCGCAAACACAACAAGGAACCACAGTGTGCAGACTACGAGCGGCGCTACCATGACGGCCCGTTTGAACGCCTTCTTCAGAGCCAGTTGACCAGCCACAGTGATTTGGAACAGTACGACACCGACGAGAACGCGGTCACACATCATTGTCCAGCCTTTGCCAGTCGAGTGTTGTCTGTGCTCCATTGCATACAAGAGTTGATACTTGTGCACAAAGTGTCCGATCATGAAATAGGCCAAGCCAGTGAGCAGAACCATCCATGAGTCTTGCAACACACTGTAGACGATACAGATGATGAAGATCAAGATAGTTTGCGGCAAGAAAAACCCGTAACTGAAGACCGGTGGTTGTACCAGTTCGGCGTAATCTCTTGGAGTCTTGGCGCCAATCAGATAGACCGGGTACAGAGAAAGGGCTCCAAACTCCAAAAGTCGGAATGGGAACAATCCGAATCCTTGAAGGATGATGAAGTTGGTGTAAAAGCCGAGTAGATTAGAGAGCGATGTAGCCAAGGCGTATGCAATTTGCGTAGCGCTTGTAAGCTTCTCGGCGAAGCGTTCAAGCATCGCCAGGAAACCGGAAGCAGTTCCCAGTATGGTGAAGAGAATGAAGAAGTTGAAGAAGACGAAGAAGAAGTTCTTCGAAATTACTGAAAGCTCAACATCGCCCTGTGAGATCATCCCTTGCTTGTTGGCAAGCCCTAAAGAGTGTTAACATGGCAGACATTGACTGTTGACGGCTGGCACACTTACAATCGTACAAAAACGGTACAAGCACGTTGATCAGAGAGACTGCCAACGTAGGGAGTTGATTGTTGAAAAGAACCTCGAGGTTAGGGTGCTCGTGCAGCAGATTTGCCAGACCGGGCAGTACCTCTTGAATGGAGCACGTGTTCAAAGCACCGGCGATAGGTACGAACAGGACTGTCCAGAAGACGCTCAATACACCAATAGCGATCGTAATCGACCAAGATCGAAACATTCTTTGGCCGCGAGACAAATATGTGTTTGACCAAACTACGTCCTGTGGTGCCGGACTTGTGTGGGCCAAGAGCTGTAGTGGCGAAGGGTCGAGCACAGCCTGGATGGCCATTTGCGCACTTGCAACGCTGTCCATAGTCACAAACGCCAACGGAGTCGGCTCGAATTCTTTCTTGCGCAGCGCCCGAATATCGTCGTCGAGTCCGCGCAGTTTCTCTTCATAGTAGTCAATGGCATCTACCCTCTTATATCTCAGCTTGAAGCGGCCGTACCAGATCTTCGCTGTCGGGCGCTGCTGCGCATAAGGGCTGATGTGGCCAGGGTCTCGTTCTGCGTCGCTCAGGAAGTGGCTCGTCTCGCTCTCCTCGTTGCCGCTATCCTCAGTATGTTGTGGCGGATGTGGCTGGACCACCGGAAGAGTCTCCAAGCTTCGTTCCACGCTTCGGCTTCCAAGATGAACAGTCCAGGCCTCCTCCAATTTCCGCAAGACAGCTTGTCTCTCGACGACTTTGTCGTCAAGCTCTTTCCAGTTCCTGCAAAGTGTCACGCTCTCGACCTTGCCGATGCCGAGATCCATAATGAAGTCCTTGATCTTGTCCTCGGACCGTAGGTCGATAGGAATACCAGATAATCTGATGGTCCGGTCGGTGATGGTAGTCTGGCTTCCCAGATACTCTTGCCGGACATCGATTATCCTCCTCGTTTCCGAAACGATCAAGTACATTATGAGGGCGGTGAAGAGGTACACGAATACAAGATACATCCACAGATAGTCGGTGTATTGTTCGTAGCCGGAGGCAAATGTCGAAAGTGTGCTTCGTATTTCAATGCGCTCAAGACTGGGCTTCTTGTCAATCGAAGACTTCTTTCCCTCCTTGTCCTGATGTGTGTCGTGGACTGGTTTGATGACGGCTAACGCAAAGAACAGCGTGACCAGCAGGAACTTGATAGCCATCTTGAAGAAAGCGAGGTATACGTAGGCGTCGAGACCGGCTGAGGCGAGCACCTGCTCGTCGGTGATCCTCCATAACGGTATAACCCAGCCGAAGAAGCTATCGGGAAGGTCGGGCAGCGATGTCGCGAGGTTGTTCTGCTTCTTGCGCGCAGAGTAGAGGCCTTTCCATCGTGGGCGAAGGAACTAATATGACCAGTCAGCAGGTAGGTCGGAAGACAATACTGCGAGTACGCACGCAAAAGGCCAGGAAGGCCACTAGGCCAAGCGCGGCGGAGAGGGAGACTTGGAGGTGGAAAGCGCGCTGCGGCCGGCGCGTGCCGTAAGGGTCGTTGGGGTCGCTGGTGCCATTCCCGCAAGTACCGTTGCCTTTGATCATTGCCAAGTGCTCTCGTGAGTCGCCATAAACAAAATCGACGTTGAGGGTCGTGTTCAACAGGAGGACGGAGGGTGGTGTTGGCGATGTCATGATCCGCACGCTAGCCGCCCAAGCCACGCGACTCATACAAGCTTCACCCCGGTCCGTTACCCGCCTCGTTTTCTGAAGACTTCCTCACCGCATGTCACTCACCGCATGCATATAACAGCTGCTATTCGCTACTGCGGACACAATTTCGTCTCGTGATCATATGCTATGTACTGTGAATGAGTACAAAGAATTCGACGGCGGTACCGTCTAGGTACAGTTCATTGGACAGATGACGTGTCACAGAGCGGATACCTGCAAATACTTCCCATCCGGCAATGGGCAGGTTTGACTAGCAAAACAAAGGTCGTAGGAGCAATGACTGGTAGGACTACAGCTGTAGTTGCAAATTGCATGACTGCACCTGCTACAGCATCTTTTGAAGCCCAAACTGACTGCTGTATGCGATGACGCAGGCTGGCTGTTCTTTTCCATTTCCTTCCCAAGGAGATACTGTTCATTCGTGCACTTTGTACGAAGATCCTCGCCATGGTTATTGCTACCACAGCACTCGCTCAAAACGAAAGCAGACCTCAAGACCAGTCATTTGATGCAGCGAAGTGGTTCGCCACAACGGAGGCTGTCTAGAAGCACCCCGAGAAGTGTCATTTGGAGTCATTCGACTTGTAAATCGGTATGTGTGCTCAATGGTAGCGGAAGCAGTCTGACCAGGACTGCAAACCACGTTCCTTCCAAGGTTGGATATCTCAATGTGAGGAGTCTATTCCTCTTACGGTTGGACCTCGGGAGACGCGTGAACACGTGCCTTATCGATAAGCACCAACGGTGATCGCGAAACTTCGCTGTCGGTACTTTCTCCGGTTCCGCAGGCGTCACTGGTTCAGGTGGAGAGAGAAGGATTATCTGGACGCGCGCTCGCTACCATTTCTTTCGTACCCACCATCATTTCCTCTTTTTGCAAAAGTACTTTCACACTACACTACCAACTACATCTACCATGTCTTACCACGGTCGGGCACCGCAGAAGAGCCATACCCAGGGCTACCGCAGCTCGCCTTATGGCGCGTCACCAAGGAACAACGCCGGGCGGGGTAAAGGCCCCGGGTCTTTCGACGTACAACGCGAATACATCAACGAGCAATCTCCAGACGCGGAGTCCGCGCGCAGGAACCCTCTGCACAGTTACTTCATTCAAACCGGGAAGCACAGGGGGAACACACTAGCGCACATCAGTCGCTTCGACGAACAGTACCTTGGATGGATATCCAGCGATTGCTGCAGAAACCTACCACGCGATCACATCATCCGGAGAGCCATCGACCAGTGGAACGCAGAACGCAGAGCTAGTGGAGCGTTGCCTCCTGTTTCCAGTGCTCCATTGCGATTCAAGAGTGGCAAGTACCATCTCTACATGCAAGAGAAGTACCTCAGGAAGTGGTGGAAGGTCACGGCTCAGGAACTCGTCGACGCTGGTGTCGAATACAAGGTCAACGAGAACACAAAGACAAAGGCGAAGAAGTTCTCGCTGTACCAGGTCTACGAATATGTCAAGAAACATAATAAGCTTGACAGGGAAGAGCTCGAAGCTGTGGTTAAGGACGAGAAAGACCGCATAAACAGGGCAAGGACGACGTACACGAGTTACCAGAACGGTGATTTCGCCGGCGGCGGTATTGATTACGACGACTGCCCCTGGTGGTGAGATCATGTATTACAGGTAAGCGGTGTGCCCTCCACCAAACGGGAGCCAAACTGACTGCAATGCAGGAAACAACGTGTGGGAGATTGTTCTTGCCAAGATGGCTGATACCCGATGCAACAGGAGTTCTTCACTTTCATCAGATAAACTTTGTAACACCAGACAATTTGGAACCTGCTTCTCTGCCGGAAAAATGAAGAATCAATTCATTAGGTAGTAATAAAACGCCGTGTACCTCGGGTATCAAACTCCACAAACCGCTAAAAGTCGCTCAACAAAGATCCGGCTGGGGCACGCCGAACAACCACACCATGCCCCAAAGTCGTACGCTTCTCTCGTCCATCCGTGTCATAAGTGCATGGTCAGTGGCCCGCTTGACCGCCTCGCGCTCGGGGAACAGGCTCAGAAAAGCATGAGGTTGCGCAGGTACAGGGACTCTGTCATCCACCTTTGTCTCCGCTAAAGGGTGCTCGGAAAGGGAACGTTGACGAAGTTCATTGGCACTCATATGTGGTGTATCGGCAAGTGTCCACCAAAAGAGTCTGCTCAAGGGTGTCTGGCCTTTATACAAGGCTGCATTGAAGTCGTCTTCATCGGCAACAGAAGACTGGATAAACTTCAGGTATGTCTGCAAAGCCCGTAGCACATCGTTTGCGCGGCAATCCCCTAGCTGGTCGTTGTCTTTCCAGATACGCGACGAGTGGTAGGGGTGTGACACTTCTCGTATGTTGCCCAAGTCGCCGATTGCCCAGTGGGACTCGTCTTGAACAAAGATGTTCGCTGGCTTGATATCATCGTGACAGTAGCCTGCACGGTGTAAAGTACCCAGATTCTCAAGTAGTTGGTTGAAGGCTGGCCGATAGCGTCCATCAACCTGACTATAAGCCATAGGCGTTTCTTCCGACGACAGTTTGTTGGCAAGTGAACGAAGATTTCCGCCTTTGAGCAGAGGGGTGACGAGGTGCCACTCGGCCGGTTCGCCAGGCGTTGTAGAAGCCATGAAATGTGCTCTCACGGGAAGGAAGCCGTTCTTCGTCGCGTTCGCATCGTCGGCAGCGGAACCCCCAAATTGTAGTGATGCGGGTATTTCCGTTGGCCATTTGGACGCATCTGGCGCGCAATTTCGGAATGGACTCCGCCCTGGTGTGAACGTCTTGATAACCGAGTCTCCGTAGGCGAACACCTTGCCCTCCCAGCCCTCGCCAAGCACTTTCCAAGACGCCCGGTTTGCTATTAGCTCTTCTTCCAACTTCGAACTTTCGTCATCGGGTTGCCAAGATCGAGCCTGTAGGTCTCCTTCGTTGTGGGAGTTGAAGTTGGTCGCAGAGTACTTTTCCAAGAGTGCTTGTCGACTAGTGAGGTACAGATGTTGTTGCTGGAATAGGGCAAGTATGAAGAATACAACAGCGACCCGGTAACACAGATAGTATAGAGTCCGCGCGCTGTGTGGAACTGAGTTTAGGAGAAGGCGACCCATGGGTGCTGGTATAAGTCTCCGACAGAGAGATGAGAAGGAGAAGGAGTATGGCGCTCACTAAGCTTCGGAACTCATACTAAGAGAGTGCGCCTGCCGTGACTCTTGTAGAGCCGCAAGTGGCATCCCTCCAAGATTCATGGAAAGTGCTACGCGCCAGCGCATTGGAACGGTGAGCGAGTGCACTGCAACGACTCAAGCTCCGAGTGGCTCTCGCGGAGCCAAACGGCATCTCGGAACCAGCTGCCAGGCGCAAAGCTCTATTCTTGTTCTCCCTACTGCGCCCCTATGACGTTCAACTCCAAAGTCTTGGCCTATGAATGGCCAAGATGTGGCTTTTGAAGCGAGGAAGCAGGAAGTCGGGTAATATCATTCGGATGTCGGCTAGCAAAGTTAATCTTGAAGTCCCCAAGGCTGTGGCGTCACAACGCAGTGACTTCCCGCATAGTCTTTATTGGCTAGCCGTAGTGGCAAGAACGGCTGTGTCCAGTAGTGTCCATGTGGGTCGGTAGGCACATAGCCTGTGCTTAACTCCGATATTGGATCTATGCAACGAGATGTTGTTCTCAGCACTACCATAGCCACGCCCCGGTCGTGCTCTAAGCCGCACAGCCGTAACCCTAAAACCCTACCGTATCTGGCTCACTATCGATGGGTGCGAAAGACCACAAGCTCGCGCGATTGGGCAGGCAAGTATCCCGAAGCAAGTTACTGGTGTTGTTGGTAAAAATGTGGGGTGACGTCAAGGATGCGCTGTCTCCAGCCAGGTAGCGTCAGGCACGAGGTTAGCGTGGCGCATGGATCAACAGATCTCTATCACCACTGAACCGGCTTCCAGGCTTTGCCGTGACATCCTGAATCCTTGCATCCTTCCGCACCTGCACCATGAGTTCCGAAACCCAGTTTGCTGAAAACAGGACCCGCTTGGTCTCCCACTTTGATGGCTACAGGTAAGGAGCGCCACGTGCCGCCACTTCCGTAGCCACAACTAACGGTTCCAGCACCCGGGATGCACAGAGCGACGGGTGGGCCAAACTGTGGGAACAGAAGGAACAGGATCTGTGGGATCGGGGCCAAGCTTCGCCTGCTCTGACTATGTTCCTTGAAGAACACCCTTATCGCGAGACGCTGTTCCGAGACCAGAGTCAACGGCAGTTGAAGGCATTTGTGCCTGTAGGTGTCTCGTAACGAGCGTACTTGACAAGAGGCTCATCGTGCATTAGGGCTGCGGTAAGGGGCATGATGTGGCGCTATTAGCACGTCATGGCTTCAGGACATGGGGTCTAGAAATTTCCCAAGGAGCAGTGGATACCGCCAACGAGAACGTCAAATCTCATCTAGATCCTTCAGCTGGCCATGTCGCTGACGTCGTGCTCGGCGATTTCTTCCAAAAGGGATTCGAGGCTCATTTCGGACCTGATTTCCAGGGTTTCGATCTAATCTACGACTATACAGTACGTTCGGCATGCAAAGAGTCCCGACCGACATGCTCCTAACGAGTGCTAATAACGTCGATCAAGTTTCTGTGTGCCCTGCTTCCTGAGATGCGAAGAGATTGGGCCGATCGCATGAAGAGCCTTTTGTCGCCAACTGGTGTTCTCGTGTGCCTCGAATTTCCAATGTGGAAGCCTCTGAAAGCTCAAGGTCCGCCATGGGGTCTGAACGGTGTACACTGGAACCTTCTAGCCGATGGTGCTGATGGCCTGTTCGACGACTCCGGCAATCTTCTCGGAACAGGAAAGGAGCAGGGCTCGTTCGAAAGGGTTGTGTATTGGAAGCCCCCAGTCTCTTTCAAACAAAGTCGCGGCGACGACATGATTAGCGTCTGGAAGTTGAAGCAATAGACGGCGAGGAAACTCAAACATGTATCGTTGCCCTATCCGCATGGTCTGCGGCAGGTTGGAAGACAACGGAGCACTTCAGTTGGTAAACGATGGTAGCACAATGATTGATCGGGGCTCGTTCGCATTGTATAAACGCTAAATTGTAACAGTATACTGGAAAACAACCACCTCACATCCCGTCAGTCAGCATAGCCTCAATCAACTGCACATGCCGGTTTGCATTCGTCTCGCTCCACTCAGTATCATAGTTCAGGCCTGAATTATCGACGTGGCAAGTCAGTCTATGTTTCACGTACAGTTGGAACATCGCGTTTTTGTCATACCGTATGGCCAGAAGTGTCCACCACCGCAGTTAATCTTCGCATTTGCTCCATCGAAGCTCCTGATCAGGGATAGTGCCGTGCGCCAGTCGCCTGCAGCACACTTTCTGTCAAAAGCCGCTGTCTGGCCGACTCCTAGCGTGTGGCTTATCTCATGCATCGCAGTCCTTTCCGTCATGTAAGCGCGGTTGGAGCCGAATCGTAGATCGCCGTTGTAGTTCGCCTCGGCAGTAGGGACACCCGGGGCGTAGGCCACACGAATCGTCTTGTTTGCGTCGGAGTACTTCTCATAGCGAGCGACGGCCTTTGTCATTGCAGCTTCGATCTTAATGTATGCGTCTCTTTGGTCGGCGGTGGGGTTGGACGCTTTTGCCAAGGACCAGGACAGGCGTGCGGAGGCGGTGCAGGCATACGCCGCGACGAGGAGAAGAGAGAACTGCATGATCGTGGGTGTAGTTTCTTGGGTTGGATCAAGAGCTGTGGTTGTCGGCGCTGTTCAGGGCTTACAGCGATGAGGGCTGCTGCGGCATACCCAATGATATACCACGTGGTCTTTCATGGTAAATCTCCACCGCTGATTACCACGCACACCTTTACTGCTGTAGTGGCTGCAATTAAGGGCGGTCGTTCGGCCTCATTAGGTAGGTGGGTTGATAAGCTGGGATATTGTCCCACGCGTAGGAGAGCATCGTTCAATCCTTTCCACTCGCGATGATTCGTATCCAGCCAGATATGCTACCTTCCTCTGGCGGCTGGGTCACGTTTAATGTACATTGTCTTGGTGTTGCGGCGTACAAGGGCTGAAACGTTCAAGCGTCGGAGAATTGATTGCATGTAGATAATGTCCCCGCACTCCGGAAGATTTCCACATCGGCAATGAGTGCGCCTCCCGCCTCTCATACAGCCGCCATTGAGTGCCGATCTCTAGTCGAATGTCTTCCTGCCGCTACCTTCTCTCTACTAGCGGCTGGAGTCGTATCATATATACCACACGTGTCAGCCTAGTACTACCTAGGTAATCTCAACGCACTACATCTGCCATACTGGCCATGTGAACTGCGTGCTAATGTGTGGAAGACAGTCTCATTCCGAACTGGTTGTGGCTTTAATTGCTCTTGGGTGTATTCATTGGCGAATAGAGGTGGTAATCGGAGAGACTGAACCTATCGCTTGATGGAAGAGACATGTAGAGCGGACACACATCTGGTGTTAGGCGTAACAAGCCCAGCCTTGCCCGAATTCGGCGAACGCCTTGTCCGACCCACACAGCTAATCAGGATGCATGGGAGTGGGACCAAACTCTGGAAAGTTGACCTTTTCTCCTATCCAGACGACCCAACTACTCGTCACTGTTTGAACAATTGCAATATATTCAATCAATTTGCCCAGCTTTCCATCAAGCAGCCCAGTTCTCTGGTCTCCGCCTCCGCATCGGTGGTTTAGTGGTAAAATTAGCCGTTGCCATCCTCCGCAGGACAGTTTCGGCTAGCCCCGGGTTCGATTCCCGGCCGATGCACCACACACACATCTTTCTTTTTGCCAATGTACACGTCCTGGCGGCGTTGTGGTGGAAAGAGTATGTTTTTGAGCTGGTGATGAGCACACGTGATTGGAACGTGGCCGTAAGCGAGGCTAGCGCCGGCCCTCCCGCACTAGCAGCGGGATGCGAAGCGTGGCAGACGAGATGACAAGAACTTGGAACCTGTGCAGCTGGAGGTAGTCTTTTTGCGCTTGCATCATTATCTTACTGCATTCGCCTTCCTGTATTATACATTAAGTCATTATCCGTTGATTATCAGATACTGCAATCCGGACGACTGCACAGACTCGCCCTTGCCTCGCACTCGTATTACCCACGACACTTCATCAGATCACACTCAATCCCTCGCATTGCCCGACATGGTAGCAGCGACCGCACCTCCAAAGACTGCAGCCAGCCCAATTCTCCTGTTCTCCCTCTGCCCACTAACCCGCCACCGATGACTAGCCTTGGGCACAACCACCCTCTCCGGCTCCGCAAGTCCCATCTGCCCCGGCGGCGCATTGCTGAGCTGCCCATACTGCACTCCCCTGTCTCCAACATCTTCAAGCACCTGGTCGAAGTCGCCGTGGTATGCTTTCATCTTGTCGGGCGCGATGATGGGCGCACCGAATGCTTGTGAGATCTCTAGTGGACCTAGAGTGACTTTGCGACCGAGTTGCCAGAAACCCCAGTAGACGGGTAGGACGAGTATGACGGTGATGAAGGTTGCTGCGAGGGCGCCGAAGACGTAGGCGGAGGAGGTGAGGTATTCTTCTACGATGCCGGTGACGGATATGGTAATGTTTTGGCTGGCCATGCCGAGGGCTTTGCGTTCGTCTACATCGGTTGTGGGTGCGCCTTTGATGTACAGAGAGGTTACGAAACTCAAGGTATTGAGTTTGCGCAAGAGCTCGATGGTAGGGTCATCTCGACCAGGTTTCTTAATGTTGTACCAGCAGCGGTCCTCTGCTTCATCTGATTCAGCGTAGAAGATGGATTGAGCTGATGCGCCTCGCGCGACGATGTCCCAAGTGGAACCGTGGCTGATATTTGCGGAGGATTCGTAGAGGTTGTTCATGATGTAGGCCAATGCTCCGACAGTAGAGGTCTCGTTGAAGTACTCGTTGAGCTTGGCGGTATTCAGCACCTTCAAGTCGTCGATTTGGGTGATATCGTTCAGGTTAGTACCGGTACTCCAGAACCGGTCGTCATTGAAGAACTTGACATGTGTAACGATATTTCCGCCGTCTAGTTCTTCTTTACTTGGTACCATGACCGTAAAGGGGTACCGAACAACTGCGGGCCTAATATCGCATGTGCGGATATTCATGGTCCCTGGACAGGAATGCTCGTCCTCCCCAGCGTGGCTGTCGACATACCGCATCTCAAGTTCGATACTGGCGTATGTCTTGGTTTCGCTTGCCCATGATGGTCTAAATTTGACATCCCACAACAAATGAGGTGTGCCGAAAGATTCAGATCTCTCCCACTGCCGTAGCCCATAGTCGACATCTTCGTATTCGGTGGTGCAATCGAACGCAAAGCCTAAGCCTTCGATAGCACCACTGCATTCCTGTCTATAGGGACAATCGAAGAAAGATGCCGTGTCATTGAGGGAATCGTGCACCTTGCTATTGGCGAGCTTGCCGTTGTATGCATCCAAGACGCTGGCCCATGCCGCATCCACCGTCTTGATATGACCATCTGCCCCCGGTATCCCGCCAAAATTCGCAGGCCAGTCTCTCTCAACCCATCCAGTCATGGTGGAATTGGCGTACTCCTTTTGCTGAGTTACGATTGTCCTGGTCGCTTTTTGGAAGAGAGTGCTATCGACGACAGCGAATTTGGTCATAAGCGCGGCAAGGGCGACCAGGTTGAAGTACCTGCCGGAGGTAACAATCGCGTAGAAGCTGTAGGAATATGCATGATTCTTATGTAACACGCGGAGAGAGCTACCGCGCAAGGCTGTTCTCCACCACGCGATCGCCAGTCCATGGCTGACCAGAGTGATCAACCCCAGATTCTGGATCTGGTTCGCGATATTGAGAAGGACGTTGGGCTGAGCAGGGAAACTGTTCCATTAGTCGCGACCCGATTCAAGGTGTACCTGTTAGACTTGCCTTGTAAACGGCCAGTCCTTGACGCGCTTCTTGTGCGAGGACACCAGAATGATCACAGCCGTAGCAGTTGCCACAAAGATGACGACAAGTCCCGCAAAGCCGATCCATGGAAACTGGTTTTTGAAGCCAGGTCTCCAGTCGATGCCGTCGATATCTGAATTATGTTCAGCATATTCAGACTTTTCGTTGCACTCCCGCCTCGGTATGTATGGCTCCCTACTCGACTTCTTAACATCGCTGGAATGTGTTTCGCATTCCTCTGAAATAGCGTCAATGTTGCATATGAAGTCTTCTCTCGGTGTGCCTGGCGCGGTTTTCCAGCTATCTCGCTCAGTCCCAGGAAAATTGGGAGTGAAATTCGGGGACTGCCAGGTCGGTCGGATTTCGTTGTCCATGATAGCAGTCTGGCGTGGAATCGAAAGATTCCAAACGGTGGAAGGGACGAGATGTAGTAATAGATGAATGTGGAAAGCACGGTAAGTGAGTAACAAGCAAACCTCGTGCAACAAAGGAAGCAGCAAACAAGTTCGCATCGCGTGTTCTCAAATCCGTTATACATATAGATCAAGGTGGCACAGCATGCGAAGCGAGCTGACCCAATTGCGATGGCTATAAGCCGAGAAAGGATTGGCTTCGTTTATCTCGACATATCCATGGGAAGAGTAACCACATCGCAATACTGTAAACGTTCAAAAAGCTGATGTGTCGTTTGTCGCATTTTATTTAAGCGATGTGATTCGAAGTTGTGGTATCTGTATAATCGGGTACAAGCATGGGGATTCCGCGCGTAAGTTGTACCAATAGCGGAAGTTTCTCTTCAGTCCTGCATCTGTTCATCGTCTTGCTCCTGCTCCTCTTTGAGGTTATCTTTTCCGTCCTCTTCCTCCGGAGGCATTGAAACAGGGAACGAAAGATGTTTCCAGTCCTCGATCTGCGAAGAGTCAATATGTTAGACGCAGCACACGAACGATGATGCCTACCTCTTCAGTGATACTCTTCAGTCTGTCGCGAATACTTTCCACGGCGTAGCTACCCAGAATCAAGCGCAACGGAGGATAGCTGCAATGACCCAGTTGCCACACCAACTCTGCGCTCTTTACAGCGCTCACCGGTTGTCTGTCGTTCAGCCACTGTACCATCCGTCGCGCGTGTTGCGCGGGGCTTGTCAGTCCCGAGTAGGGCTCGCTGGGGTTCGGTTTCACGAAGAAATGACCGTAACGTTTCGGCTTCGGCGGACCTGTTCCTGGAACGGGCATCGAAGTATAGCTGGGTGGTAATATGTTGTCATCTGGCTCGTCCAATCGAACATGTCCAGGCTCAACCAGTGTTGCTTTGATGTTGAAGATATCGACTTCGTACAACATCGACTCTATGAGCCCTTCCACGGCGTACTTGGTCGCACAGTACGGGCCGAGGCCAGGCACGCCAAGGGCTCCTGCCGTGGATGAGAATATGAGGTATCGACCGGAGTTTTGTGAGCGAAAGTAGGGGAGGGAGAGTTGCAAGATGTGTAGCGTTCCGAGAAAGTTTGTGGTGAATTGATTGCGCAGGTCGTACTCGTCCTGGTCCTCGCATGCTGCTATGACGCCGTAGCCGGTGCTGTTCGCTATGACATCCACCTGGCCCCAGTATTCGATGCTCTTCCTGATGACCTGATCCACTGTCTCGCGCACTCTCACGTCGCATAGTAAACCCAAGCAGTTTCTGTTCTTCCACTTATCCATCTGTTCAGGTGTGTTCTCTTCGGTCCATCCCACCGCGGTGCATTGGTCGCCGTGCGCTAGTATCGCTCGAACGAGGGATCGTCCCATGTGACCGGTCGCTCCGAAGACCTACAGAAGATGTTAGCTATCGAGATCAAGGCAACATGCTTGATGACCTACTATCCATACTGCTCGCTTGGGCGGATTATGTTCAGATGGTGGGTCGCAAGTTGCTGGAAGGATGAGATTGGGGTTGTGAGTTGCAGCGCCTGGCGAGAGGCTCTGACTTTGGGTATCGAAATCCATAAGGAGGTTGAAGACGCTACAATGGTATGCGATCGTGAACTGGTCCAGAGGTGGGGAGCTTGGCAACCAATCGGACTTGCAACTGCCGCTATCTCCGTCTGGTTCAGGTGAAGGGGCAACGAAGCCACGTCGCGCACTTGGTATGTGTACGCGAGTAATCCAGGGTATTTCCGTATCGCGTCGGAAGTGAGGCTTGGTAGAACTAGCACTCAAGGCATGATGAACCTCCTCTCGTCGATCAGAAAGCGGAGCCCCTCGATGACCAATTGGCTGGGAAAGGCCTGTTGCCGGTTCATGAAGTTGCTGACGAGGATGAAGAACATGATGAAGATGTCGAGGTGCATAGGCGACGTGAGGAAGAAGTGGTACGCGAGGAACAGGAAGGCCTGGGCGCGGTATCGGCTCTTGATGGATCGGATAACTCTGTTCGCCTTGATGGCAGCGGCGCGGTTGGTGGGGGTCCTGAAGGTGACGACCTTGGAGAGAAGGGGCATCCTAGGTAGAGTTGTGCCTCGTCGCGGGTCTGAGTCTGGGGAGACCTCGGGGCTGCGGAGATGGGCGTGGAGTGATTAGGAGGCTTATCGATATGGCTAGGTCGGCATCCTTCCAAGGTCCCGATGCACAATTACGTCTTTCAGCCTCTGCTCGAAATCACCATCCACACCCAACATGCAATTGTCAACGCGGTAGCAACTCTTCAGTCGCGACTATGGTCAAAGCAGTGCCCACGCCCGTGGCGCTGCCCGTTACACAGGGCGGCTCGTCATCGTACAGTTGCCCATCAAATGCAGAGACCCCGCTAACTTACTACAGACTCTCCTTCACACAAGGTTTCCTACTCGGCCAGCTCTCGATTGCGATTTTGATGTTCTGCTTCATAAAGTTCTTCATCTTCGGAGAGCCACCGTCCGCCGACGACCGCGCATTGCATCTCAACTCGCTCCGGCGAGCTCGAACCTTGGCCCACCAACAGTCGTATAAGCAATTGAGAACGCGTGCAAACTCGACGTCTCTCTCCTTACGCCATAAACCATCGAGAAGTATAATACGAAAAGGCGAGGAGAGCAGGGGAGGCCCAAGCATACAGACTATCCTCGCGAAGACGTATTACAACGTAAAGGGACACCAACCGGAGAGCTTAGACTGGTTCAATGTGCTCATTGCGCAAACAATCGCACAGCTGAGAGCCGATGCACGCCAGGACGATGCAATCCTTACTTCGCTCACCGACATCTTGAACACGGGCAGCAAGCCGGACTGGATTGGCGAGATTAGGGTGACGGAGATAGCATTGGGTGATGAATTCCCCATCTTCAGCAACTGCCGAGTCATGCCAGCAGAAGATGGATTCTGGTACGGGCCAGGCAATACAGATGAGAAGGAGAGACTGCAAGCGCGAATGGACGTTGATCTAAGCGATGTCATTACCATCGGCGTAGAGACGACACTGAACCTGAACTGGCCGAAACCCATGTCCGCAGTCTTGCCAGTCGCGCTCGCTGTGAGCATTGTACGATTCTCAGGAACCCTCGCCGTGTCCTTCATACCCTCGTCCTCGCCTCCACCAACCACAGCGCCCATGCCATCGCCAACATCAAATACGCACCGAGGTTCCTCGCCGAGCCGCCCAGCATCCTCATCAGGTGCCCCACCACACCGTCCCACGACATTAGCCTTCACCTTCCTAGACGACTACCGCCTCGACCTCTCCGTGCGTTCCCTAGTCGGTTCGCGATCACGACTTCAAGACGTACCCAAAATCGCCCAGCTCATCGAATCCCGCGTACACGCCTGGTTCGACGAACGAGCCGTAGAACCGCGCTTCCAGCAAATCGTGCTCCCATCACTCTGGCCCCGCAAACACAACACACGAGGCGGCGCCACAGAAGATGCCGACGCAGCAGCCGGCGAGAACGAAGAAGATGAGGACGACGAAATCGCCGTCATGGAAGGAAACGGCACAGCTCCCGGCTCAACATCCTTCATCCCCAGCCCCATCGCCGAGAACGCCACCCTAGAAGAGCGCATAGAAGCAGAAGGCCAGAAGATGCGAGAGGCGGAGATCAGAGCTGGGGTTAGGAAACCCAGCGCAACAGACTCTCGTAGCCAGAGTAGAAATACCCGGGAAGACGGCATGCGGTGGCGGGGCGAGCAGAGAGACCGGCCCAAGGGGTCGGGGAGACCGAAACTGCAGAGCCGGACTACGACGGGCATCGCGGGAGCCATACCAGGCGCTTTACCGAGGTGATGTGGACAGATATTTGTACGATGACATGACTGAATGTATATAATACCAGCAGCGGCGGCGACGGCGTTGTGGAGCGAAAGCATACGTCTTGCTTTCGGCGCATCAAGTCCAAATCTATTTGATTAGGTATGGACCAGATGTGCCTGAAGCAAGACGTATGCCCAGGTACATTGACAGTATCGTGAGCTTCATATTTAGCGAAGCTCACAATACTGTCAATGTACCTGGTTCACAAGAAGCATCACAACACAATCGCACAGCTGCTCATAATGACAACACAAGTTGCATCCATTGAACTTCTCCTCCTACACATCCCTCAGTGCACACCGAGTATCTGTATCCCAGCCACCCAGGCAATCATTCCCTTCGTGTAAAAGTGCCATTGTCTACCACTCATGAGCAACACCCGATACAACTGTAGACATCCGATGCCCGTACGTATCCTAACACAACGCTAACCTAACGAGAGACAACACCTTAATCTCACCTCCCATCTTCAGGTACAGGAGGTAAAGAAATGGAAAACGCCATGGGTATCTGTCTTTCTCTAGCTATGACAGGGACAGGACAAGCAAAGAAAAAGGTTGGTAAAATTGAATCAAAGACAGCCGCACACGGGATTTGGGAGATGATGTGTAGCATGCATGAGAAAACGGCTTGATTAAGTGCGCAGGCAGATCTATTGCCAGCTGGCGGTAGGAGCGGGTGTGGGATGTTGTGGTGGCGGGGGTGCTTCATAAGAGTTGGTAGGGACGTCGACGGGAGCCTGGTGTTTTGGTGCTTCTTCGGGGGCGCTGTACGGCGGCGTTGGGGCGGAGAAGAAGCCATCGAGTTTGGGGAGCGCTTCTGGGTTGCCTGTAGGAAGCTGTTGGTTTGCGACGGGGATGACGGGTTGGGAGATCCCGTTCGTGGTAGAACTGGGCTCGGATGTAGGGGCTGAGGGTTCTGGAGCAGGCGCAACCTCAGGCTGTTTTGGCGCGCCTGTGTCGGCTACTGTCGCAGCAGTAGCATCGTGGTCCACGCCGTTTGCCATGGGTGCGTCTTGGTCGGGAGCAGCAGAGCCATCAGTTGCGCCTTTCCGGTAACGCAGAGTGACCATGAGGCTGTGCGGTTCCTCCTCTTCATCTGACGAATTCTCCGCCGCATCGTCTTCATCATCGTCGAGCTCCATCTGATCTGGCTCTTCCTCGTCATCATCTCCACCGTCCCAAGATGTCGCATCCTCATCATCTTCGGAATCTACTGTCCGGTTCAGTGAGCGGCCGTTGGTAGTGCCCCTGTTGGCGGCGCGGGTTGATCGGCCAGGGCCAGGCTCCTCCGACACATCAGACCGTACGTAATCGCCAGTTGCAGGCGATGGGTGGTCGGTGGCTTGTCCACTAAGTAGTGTCTCACCGTATAAACCTGTTGCTCGAGAGCGGACCTGTCGGCCGCTAGCGGTGACAGTAGGACCAGAAGGCGCAGCGGGTGTGTCGCGGCCTGATTGCCGCCCTGACCGACGTACAGATGTATTGTCCGAGTCGAAGTCGTCCTCTTCGTCGAACGTATATCGTTGGCGCTTGCCACGGGTGCGGCCTTCGTATAGGGAGAAACCGAGTTCTGGGCGCGTGAAAGCGTCTTTGCGCTGACGGGTGTACTCCCGTCGCTTGCGTTTCTGCATGGACATTAGCACAAGACGATGTGTAGAAGGAACGAGGGCATACGTTTTCTGAAGCCTCGAACCGTGGCACAGCGTTGAGCATGCGCTCGCCGAGTGCCTTGGCCTCTTTGTGTCCGTCCACTTCCTCCAGCTTCGTCGCAAGCGCTCTTAGCTCATCGATCGAGCCAGCGACACTGATCCACTGTACGTTCTTGAGCTTGGGATCGCTCTCGCGGTAGATGCGAAAGTGGGTGTCATTCTGCCCTTCCACCAGGTAGTACCGGCGCTTGTCACCATCGCGACCCCACGCTTGTACCGACAACGGGATATTTGTATCTTGTTTGTCCTTGGTAGTGCGAGACTTGTATGCGGTATTGATCATGACCTTGACTTGCTCGTTTTGGTTGAGGCTCCAGAGGCAGAGAGAGTGGAGGAGGGTGATCTGGGCGAAAGTTAGCATCTGGCGAGATCAGGATAGACGGCGACTTACCCGTTCTTCTGCTATCATTGTGTTGAAGTTGCGACCGCCACTGAGGGGGTTGCCAGTCCATTTGGTGGGCCATTGTGACTTTTGGGTTTGGATGGCCTCTTCGAGGGCGCGACCGTAGTGACCCTTCCTGTAGAACACACAACCTGTCAGCGCGTGCACTATGCCATCCGCTCTGTAAGGCCTACGCGACCGGAGAATATGTCTTTGTAAAGGGCAAAGGGGTCAGACTGACTCGACAGGTTTCTTGCGATTGAGGACGAGCCCAAGCAGGGCGCATAGTAAGCCTTCGACATCGGCGGACGGCGTCTCCTCCGCGACACCCTGTTCGATGTCTTGAGGCCCTACGTGAGGCGAACCGCGAGGAAAGGCTTCGTTGAAGCGCGACCGAAACATTACAATGAACTATAGCGCATGGCATTAGCGATGTCTGGGTGGAGGATTTATGCGCGATTGCGGTGCAATGCGGCGCGTCACGACGCGACGGACGCGTCCAACACGTACAGCAATGTCTGGATTATCCTCTGGTACGGCCTCATGCGGTGGAGAAGGCGCTCGTTTCCTTGGAGGCGGCGAGGGCGAGCGATGCTTGAAAAAGGTCAAGATTGTGCCATTCTTCTTCTTCTTTTTCTGAGGTACGGCCTTTGCAGCGCTTGCTTCTGAAACCTCGACCTCCATCTCGTCGTCGGTCGGGGGCGCAGAGGATAGCGAAGAATCGGAATCGGCCATGGTTGGTGGTGTTTGGGGGTTGATGTTGGTGGTGGTAGTTGCGGCTGCAGTTGCGGGACGAGGAGAGGAACTACGAACAGAGCACGGTTAGGTAGGCATGAGGTAATGCTACTTTCGCTAGCCCAAAGATCGACTGATTGGGTCCCTGTAATGCAGGACAATGAACACGTTCACCAGGGCATCTTTGTTTGACAAAACAAGCGTCAAAAGGTAGCAATATCAGAGCAGCGATGGGATCAGGGCAACTTCTGTAGTCTGGGAGTTTGATTCGGCTATATACGTGATGTTCGCGAAGTGCTACAGCAATATCTCAATTCGCATATAGTGAGACCACGGCCAAGGGCAGCTATCAAGCGTGCCGTCTCTTCACCACAGCTTCCACCATAACCTCCTGCTCACAAGTCGATCGTATGGCCGCATCTCCCCCAACTCGTAATGCTGTTGTTAAGAAAGTCAGCGGCTTATAAGTATCCTACCATTGCTTTTTGATGCTCTGTTCCGGCCCAGACGGGGGTCGAGGGCACTTGTTTAAGACATGATTAGAGACGCGCAATCACATTTCGGGGTGCAAGTGTACCGGCGAGATTGAGTTGTGTCAGGCTTTCGTTCCTTGAATGCGCTCCACTGCGGAATGGCGGTTTTCAGGTTTAGGGCGGTTGTGCTGATGTGGCCGGTAGGTCCCTTTGAAAGCGCTGATCGGGCGGGGGAACGCTCGACAAGTGGACATGCCAAAGTCGCGACCAAAGCGCGAGACCTTCCACAGATGCCCTGGTGTTGCTCATAAGCATAGGTCAGCCTCTGCCCATTCGATCCTCCTCTTGACTTGTATAGGCGTCACAACAGATGTCAAGTAGATGAAAGGAAGGCGACACCGGGTAAAATACTCATAGGAGTACTGGGGGTTTCTTCGAGTTCGCGAGCGTTACGTGTTGGCTGCAAGCGCGCCCATGTGCGTCGCGCTTTTCGTCGCAACTTCGGGCTAGTCCGCCCAGTCCTGAAGTTGCAGCGCATGTCTGTCTGTCCACTCCTTGTGGTAAACGTCCTCACGGCACCTTCTCTAGCAATGGAACCATTGCGCGATGATGTAGCGCGATCAGAAATGAATCAAATTCGTTCGTGTGATTTGAGACGGACGGGACTTTTTGGAATAAAGAAACCTAGTTTGGGCAAACAATGCGCCGAAAGAAGCCGACTGCGCGAAATACAAGCGAATGCGAGAGCGCAGTTGAAGTGGTGTTGCCTTGGCTGAGGAGAGACGCGAACTTGAGGTTGAAGTTCCAGCTGGCCGAAGAGACGGCGCTTGTCAAGTCACGTGCACGCGGTTTGTATGGCGGGGCGAGCTGAAAGGTAATCGTCTCGAGGCAAATTAGGACATGTTGTCTCGATTTCCTGTCAGTCTTTATTGATCTCGTGAGTAATGAATACAATACGATAGAAGTGTTTTGACATGAACAAACGCCGGAACCGTGATGAGCAGATGTTCGCAGTGCAGTCGTGTGAGATGGCGAGCACATTGACTGCATATGCCAAGGTAGCTTACACTGTAGAAGGATTGCTTTCCAGCTATATCGCGTTGCTTTCAGAGGCCAGGTGATATATCGCGCTTGCCGAAAAGACCGCTTGACCTGATAAGGGAAGGAGATTGGGTTCGCGTCCTTTATGGCTGCATATTGAAGAGTCTGGACGGCGCACTAGACAGCCAACATGCGCTTCTGTAGGTCTATCGAATCCCCATTGCTGCGCGATAGGAGAGGATCCGAACAGGAGCCTACTGCTGATTCCGGTGATTTGCTCGGTGAAGTCGGGCAGAGAATGGAGAGTAGCTAAGAAAGACGCTTCCTTGGTACGGTGGCGAGGGTGAAACTCAGCATCCATGAGATGGAGTGTGATTGCGCAAACCATGACGGAGGCTGCCAGGAATAGAACGGTGGGCAATGTATGGCAAGACGGGTGAAACGGGGGGCATGCCTACAAAAGGCGATAGTGGAGGGGTTGGCTGTGGTGAGTAGATGGGGCGCCCGGCGGAAGCATTAGGGCGGCAAACCCCGGAATAGCGACATGTCGTCCCGCTGTGTCAGGACTGGCTGGGCCGCGTCTTTGGGCGACGCTGATCGCCGTTGGAGGGCACCTAGACGGTCTGTGGTTTCTGGAATAATGGGTCAGGGTCGCGCCTGCTTAGCCTGCTGCTGTATATTGACACGCGTTGGCTCTCAACTTTTGCCGTAGGACGCCCGCCATTGCGAACTCTCCTCCTGACTTCTACTTTCTACTATCTACTATCTCGCGGCATCCATTCCTCTTTTCCCTCCTTTTGCACCACTTGGTCTCTGTCGCCGGGTGTTGATCGTCCCGCGCCTGCCTCCCTGGTGGTATCGATAGCTGTACCCTGCACACGGCCCATATCTTGTTACGCACGCCGCAGCCCCCTCGTCATTCTGCTGCTTGCACACTTCCCTACGACACCCACGCACACCGCACCGCAATCATGAACATCAACAAGAAATTCGACCGCCTGAAGCAATGGACCAACGAGAAGATGGGCGCAGAGGCCCGCACTGGTCTCTCCGACGAGTTCAAGGCGCTCGAAGTGGAAATGAACCTGCGTCATGAGGGTATGCACGAATCCGAGCCCTGCAGCAGCACCAGCCTCGCATACTGACACTTTCCAGGCATGGACAAGATGCACGGCGCAATGGCTGTCTACGTCAAGTCGCTCTCCAAGCGCGCAGAGGGCGCCGACAAGGAGAAGCAGCTACCAGGTGGCCATCTGGGTTCCTCCATGGTGACCCACGGCGAGGACTTTGAGCCCGACTCGGAGTTTGGCAATTGCCTGTCTTGTGCGTTTCCACGCCAATCGCACCTGTCTGCGTACTAACTATCAGCAGCACTGGGTCGAGCAAACGAACGTCTGGCGCGAGTACAGGAGACGTATGTCCAAGGGGCTACGTCATCATGGCTCGAGGGTCTTGAACGCTCCTTGATTCAGATGAAGGAGTACCAGGTACGGCGGCATCAGAACAATTGCGGGCATGGAAGCTAATTTGTCTCAGTCTACCCGCAAGAAGCTCGAGACACGCCGTCTGGCCTACGACACCTCCCTCGCCAAGATGCAGAAGACGAAGAAGGAAGACTTCCGCATGGAGGAGGAACTACGTGCCCAAAAGGCCAAATACGAGGAGACCAGCGAAGAGGTCTTCCGGAGGATGCAGGACATCAAGGAGTCGGAAGTCGACATGGTCCAGGACCTGACTGCTTTCCTCGAGGCAGAACTGAGCTACTACGACCGCTGTCGTGAGATTCTGCTCAACGTCAAGCGGGAATGGCCGGCTAGGTGAGGACATTTCGATCAGCATAAGACCTAGCACATTTCTGACACATGACACAGGGACACCAGGGCTATGCCTAGCCGCCCCGCGCGCTCCCGATCCAATACCGCACACGGCTACGCAGAGCGCTTCAACCCAGTCGAAGAAGAACCCGAGCCTGAGCCCGCTCGCATGACCATTCCTAAGCTTTCGTCCCAGCGAAGCCGCTCCCCTGGCCCTGAGCAGTCGCCCGGTGGCTACTCCCTACGCCCCTCTCTTAGCCGCACTTCGACTTACGAGAACAACAATGGCTACCGAGACGACTCCCCTGCCCGCCGACTGTCCCGCGTCCCCACTGATTCCTCCGTCATATCCTCCGGCCGAACAAATCTCCGTCCAGTCCGACAAGCTAGCGCCAGCCAACAGAACACGTTTGCTGACGACTACGAAGACGATTATGCGCCATCCAACGGAAACGGATATAGACGTGACCGTGATCGATCGCCGCCTAGCCCCGATACCTCGTCATCTGTTGGCAGTGGGCGCGGCGGCGTCATGTCGCGAGCAGCGAGTTGGTCCCAGGCGGGTGAGCAGGCGACCAACGGCGGCAAGAAGGCACCTCCGCCACCACCTCCATCGAGGGCGAAGAAGCCGCCGCCACCTCCGCCGCCAATGAAGCGAAGTGCGTTGAGTGAATCTCAAGTAGCACGCTACTAGGCCTTGCCATCTTCCTCTTGTCTTTCTCTTTGGCTAACAAGTTTGTCGTAGAGCTCATGTCTTCCACTGTCAGGAACACCAGCTGGTGATGCCAACATTTGACGTATCGGCATGCTGTTCACGACTCGCTTGGCGGAAAATCAGGTCTGCATTCTCGACTGCAGTGCGGTCAGGCGTATACGGCGTTACATTGGAGGGAACATCAAGCACCAGTGTCGTGGCGTTTTGGAGCTGGGTGGAACTTATCACAGCGTCTACGTGTCGAGCTTCAGACGCAAGTTCAATTGTAGCAACGATGCTAGGTCTCAACCTCAATACATCTCTTAAGCAATCAATGAGGCGAAGTGAATGTGCATGTGTACAGTCAATGAACATCCCCAGGATGAGCGAGACCGATTCGACCAGAAACATTCGTGAACTTGAGATGAACTCGTGTCTATTTCAATCAACAGACTAACCAGATATATACTACTCGCGTTATTCGAACACGAGCATTTTCCGTAAACACCACACTACACCCACCCATTAATGCTCGTACTTCTGCTGTTGAGGCGGGAAATTCCAGTTCTCCTGGACAAACATTAGCACAATTTCCTCACATCTGTCGAACCATAACAAAAACAGAAACATGACTTACCCACTGCTGCAACCCCCCATTCGGACTCGTAGTCCCAAACTCAGCATGATGCCCCGTATCCACCGGCACAAAAATAGCACCCGTATCCTGACCCGCACCAGCGCTCATGCCACCCCAGACATCGTAATCCTCTGCCGACCCAGCACCTGCCCCACCGCCGCCGCCGCCTCCACCATTCAAGCTCCCGAGTATACTATCGAAATCCACATTCAAGCCATCCAGCGTACCAGACGTAGGCGTCCTCTGCAAATGGCCATGCATGTTATTCGGTGTCTGCTGCGCGCCAAACGCGGGACTCGTTACGGAGCCGCCGAAGGAGGGTAAGGGTTGGAGAGTGGGATGTTGCTGGGGAGCGATTTGTTGGCGCTTTTTGTTGAAGCCTTTCATTACGTAGAAGGCTTCTAGGTTTTCTTTGACGGTGAAGAGGAGGTCGGAGCAACGTTCTCGTACGCCGACGCCGTAGCAGTGCCCGAAGATGTGGTCGATGATTGTGGCCATGCGCTCTTTTCGCGGGAGGTCGGGCGTGCGGTAGAGTTCGGTGAGGAGGAGGAGGACGGCGTGGTATTGTTGGTAGGTCGTTGAGTACCAGGCCCATGACGAGAGCGAGGGCAGTGTGTCCAGCGTTGCGCCAATTTCGAGCGTCGTGAGAGCTGCTGTGAGGAGCACGTCGCGGAGGCGGTTTTCGGATTCTGAGCGTGGTTGCAGGGAGGTTTGCGGGAGGTGCCGGTAGAGGAGCATGGAGTCGCAGCGAGACATTAAGAGAGTTGCTACGAGGCCTGCATAACGTTGGATGGGAACATTGGCGTCCAGGTACTGCAGGTATTTGCTTTGGATTTGACGCTTCTTGGCTTCTACGCGGGCGCGTAGATCGTGAAGGGTGATGTGCTTGCGGTCCATCTCAATTCTGCCGCGAAAGATGAGACGGTGGATCTCGTTGCATTCGTAGCGTATCAGCGATAAAGTGACGTCTGACCAGCCGGTGGTGGAGGCTGGGTGTTGTTGCCATTTTGCACTGCCAAACTCGAAGACGTCGTCATCTACATTTAACGGGAGCGCAATGTCGAAATCGTCCGATCGAATGGATGGATGGGGCCCCTGCGCTTCGGCTGTCTTGAAGTCTAAGAAGCAGATTTGGTACCACAAGAGCGATCGAACGTGTCGCTGTAGGGGTGTCAGGCTGTTGGCTGAGCTGTGGCTCATGCGATGTATGCCTATACATTGTGCCAGGCGAACCAGAGCACCAACTACGACAGACGTCGCTCGAGATATTTGCGCTCGACAGAGGGGTATCTGTATGTGTTAGTATGCTCGAATTCTATCAAGAATGTCGGTTCAAGTACCAAATAGATCGTCAAGGCTTGCAAAGTCCGTATATTGGACGTCTTCGCCCAATTAGCACGAAGCAATGCCCGCTCCGTAGCTTTTTGTAAGCGCAAGAACAGGTCCTCTTTCGTGATGCCAAACTGCGACTTGGCTTGCAGAGGCGATACAGAGGCCGCAGCAGCCATGCACACGGCCAATATCAAGGCAGTACATGAATTCTGGTTGGGATTTCCAATCTCGAGATTCATCCAAAAGCGGTCAAACATGCGCTTGAACGACGGAAGATGCAAAACGTGCGCAAGAGGGCTGACAGCTTCCGTGTATCGCTGTAGTAGTCCCTCTGCTTCCATCTTAGTCGGTAGCTGCGGTGCTTCCACATCATTGTTTTGATGTAGAGGCAGCGAGCCACCTAGCAGCAGGTTCAGTGATGGTGCAAGGGACGGCATCTGTTCTGCGGACAGCAGAGCAGACGATTGTGTCGCTCTCTGGCCCGTGACTGATGACGACGGGGTGAAGCTCTCAGACAGAAGCTTGCCGAGCTAAACAACAATTCAGTCTGCGGTCATGGAAAGGCAACGGAAATGCGGGACAAAAGTTGCGGACAGGGCAGAAAGTACCTCTTCGGCGTATTGGGGGCGGAAAAATCCGGTGACATTCTCACAAATGATCATCCTCCCGATTCGAATCGTGAGATCCGTCGCAATCTGATCTTCATCGTCATTCTCGTCCTCGTACACATCGTCCTGCGTCTCTTCAGGCTCTGCGGGCAGTCTCTCCCAGGCATCCGTTTCGGGCTCGACATCCTGCTGGTAGGCTTCCCATTCATAGTCTCGCGGAGGCGTGCCAGGCGTGGTGGTGTCGACGGAATTCGCATTCTCGTACCCATCATGCACACTGGCGCTACTCTGCGTGCGCACGGGGAGGTTCTTGGTCCAGTCCGGGATGGTGACACCAGCGCCACTCTTACTCTGTGCGCGCTCTCTCTGCTCCCTCTCTTTCTTGCGCGCAGCGCTCTCAGGGACGGTGATGAAGACGCACTCGCGCCCGAAGGCTGTGCAGTTCTGGCAAGGGTGCGTCTTGGAGCATCGCGACTTCCGGGTGCGGCATTCAACGCAGCTGTTGATGGGGCGTGGATTTCTCCGGCGGACCACTCGAGACTGCAAGACCTGTCCTTGTTCTGGCATGTCTCGCAATCCTCATTTTCGCGCCATGTGTGGGTGAGGTTGGAAGGTGGCTGAGGTGGTGGAGTGAGCGATCGGATGTCGGCCCGTAAGGGAACCCCGATGACTTTAACACCTGTTGGTGATGATGCACGTGTTCAGCCTTGTCGCATCGTCTTGGCTCTGAGCAGGTTAGCAGACTTTTCGCCGCCTTCGGAGTCATGCAGGTACCGCCCAACAATTGATTGCTGACTGCGACCTATAGGCCGCGCTGCTGTTCAGGGCCGGCTTGAAACGAATGATGTGGGCCTTGGTGGGATGCATCTCGACCCTTAGCGCGGGGCATGCACTGTGCTGCACTCATTGCGGGCTGTGCTGACGAACACTATTGAGATGATTGTGGTATTCATGAGGCAACTCTATCAACCCGTGTAATATGGACCTGCATTTGATGCCACTCGCTTCGACGCCCAACTCCCGAATCATTGCTTCGCTCTCGCAAGACGATATCGACTATCTACCTACTTCTCTCTTCAGGCGAGCCGCAGCTGATGTAGCGGGAGGCTCGGGCCACGAGTCGACGGCATCTTCTACTTCCTCCAAGAAGGAAGTGCTATTGTGCACAGTGGTACCGCCGAGCACGACTCGAATACCTGGGGAACTAGCATTGACTTGCGCAACCATCTTAGCTTCCTCGTATGTTGCGCCGCCGACCATGAAGACAATGATGTCCTGCGGCTTGTCCTTTGTCGATCCGCCACCCTCGACGAAGGGGTACAGCTGCTGGCTTAAGCGACCCTTGATCATGTCCTGCAACGTAGCCTCTAAGCGAGGCGAGTGCTGTGTGTAGACGTTCTCAACACCCTTCAAGCCCTTGAGTCGATCTCGGGCACCTCCGAAGAATGACCCAGGTTGGAAAAGGTCCGGCACTCCACCTGCCGCCGTAGTCGCTTGCAGCGAGTCATGGTAGGTCAGCAGCTTTGTGATGAGGTTAATGCGATGCCGTGACAGTCCACCCGCAACAGCGAGCAAGTCAAGTAGCATAGCTGTGGAGTTTGACGAGGTCTTTGAGTAGCGCAACGCGTAGATGGCAACCAGCCGGAGCTTGTTGTTCGCCGGGACCTTTGGATCTTGGATGATCCTTTGCAGCGATTTGACGTCGTTGGAATGGTTGTCTGTACATGCCAGGCTCTGTTCGAGCTCACTGATGTCCAGTAGACTCTCCTCGCCAACTCGTCTGCTCAGCTCACCGACAAGTGTGACGTGCTTGGTGACGTTGCCGGAAAGCTTGCGGAACTCGGGAAAGTCCTCGATAAAGCGCTTCATATCGGCAATAGAGTCGAGCTTTTGCGATCCCTGCTGCTTTGACGCGAACTGCTCGACATACTCTTTTGCGTTTTGCCCTAAATCGCCGAAGTTGAGATACATGTTCTTCTTGAAGAAAGGGTCCTGCTCCTGCGATAACACGATCTCCTTGAGCTCAGGACGTATCTCTGGCACATCGCGTAGGTCCACCCGTCCATTGTGTATTCCGAGCAGCTCGTGAACCATAGCCTGATACGTCCATTGCGTCAACAGCGGTGTCACCGGGTCGTCTCTTCGGTCGACAATCAAAAGTATGGGCGGGGTATCTGTTTTGCGGAAGTCGAACAGTTGCTCTTCCTGTGTCATATGGTATCGGACCTCGGTCGCCAGCTTCTTCACGAGCAAACTGTTCTTCTGGTATCGTATCAAGGGCTTCTTCTTCAGCGACAGAAGTAAGGCCATGACTGCCTCGGTCGATCTTTGTAGCGCATCCTGATTCCACGCATCCGGGCTTGTGCTCCATATCCGATGATCGGGAAATCCGAGGTTGAGCGACATGAGGTCGGGATTTATGACGAGGAAGTCGGCGAAGTATTCCTGAATAGCGCGTACGACTTCGTGGTCGTCAGCTTCGGCGAGGCGCTCCAATGACGACTTTTTGATTATATTACTGAAGTCTGTCTGCATCAGCACGCGTACGTAGCCCCGTGTTCTTCCAGGCGCATACAGATGTTGTATTCCCCGTACTTGGGCTCTCGCAGCTCTTCGATGAGGTTCTGGATAGACTCGGGCGACGGTCGCACAAAGCATAGGCAGCGAAGATGGCGCATCTTCTCCCGCTTTGGGTTGTCGAGGCGGCTGCCAACGTATTAGCCGTGCATTGCACCATGGATCGCGAGGGTGCGGTACTCGGTAAGGTAGACTTCATGGTTGAGGAGGGCGGACTGTGTTGTCGCAGTCGATACTATGGGGACCTAAGCAGCATGAGTAACGTGTGTACCGCCACCTGGGAGAGCAGACAAACCCACAGTCTCGTTGTCGAGGAGGAGGATCTTCATCTTGGCCGCGGAGGTGCCAGTCGCAGCGCTGTCCCCGACCGACACCATCTTGGTGATGTAGCCGGAGACGGCCTGTATGATGTCCATGGTCGCGAGGAAATTAGTCGCAATCTACTGCGAGCTCGAGGTCGTGAATTAAGGGAGTCGTTGTCTCACTCGCTCTTCCATGTCGACGCGGTTGTTCGTTGGTCAAGGCAAGCTAGGAACGTGGCTCAAGCGCGACCTCGAGAGAGCTCAGGAACATGACAGCGCCAAGGCGAATACATCCACGACATTTCGGTCCTTATACATCGACTTTTCAGTTACATTGGATCAAGTACCCTTCGATGCTCTGCCACTGCATCTACTATTCCCCGATGTTGTTGGTCGTGTGATCACCTACAGTGGGCAGACATGTGGAGTTCCGCCGCGGGGCAGATGCGGGTACCTGGGCATCGCTCACTCCTATTTCATCGATGACTAGCACGCGCATGTAATCATAATACCAGGGCATGCACGATACAAAGTTCATAAAGGCTATGCTACTGCATGTTTGTTGCTTCATCACTACAGCGCTCTCGCCACGATAGTGACTGAAATCCGACACGCCTCTCCCTTGCCTCGAAGCCTGGTCTGGCACACGACTACTTCATGATACGTCCCTCAGCAGCTTCTTCAGCGTGCTGCCTGATGCGACCCATCGCCTTTGCCTCACCATCGATGATCTCCGGCAGCAGGTCGAAAACGCTCTTCTGCTTGGGAGTCCAGCCGAACAGCTTGTTGGCTCGAATAGCTTTGCAGCGAGAGTTGGTGCCTAGGATGTCAGAAAACGGCATATCCGAGAACACAGCATGACTCACCCCAAAGGTAGCTGCCCATTGGCCTCATCTCGTCTGCCTCCTCTTTGCTGACGTTGTCAACTCCCTCATGGTTGATGAGCTTGTTCTTGGATGCGATCTCCCCGATCTTGGTGCCGATATCACCCCAGCAGAACTCTCCGCTCTCTGCGAAATAGTATCCTTCCTTGTTCCAGGTCGCTTTGCCACCGTCAGGCGACAGAGCGGCTGTCACAAGGGCTAGGAATACCTCGCTGAGATCTTGGACATGAACTTGGGTCCACATGTTCTTGCCGTCACCAACGACGAAAGCCTTCATGCGTTTCAGTGCGGCCTTGCTCATGTCATACACCTGCACACTCTTCTGGTTGTCGGGGCCACGTCCAGGTCCGCAGATACAAGGTGGACAGACAATGGCAGATTGGATGTTGCCTGCTGAAACATCGTTCGATCCAAGGATGATCTTGTCAACATTTCGATGGAGCGCTGAATCAGGCAGCGACGTGACCTCACCAATGTTGTCCCAGTCGTCATAGACCTTCTCTCGCCTCATGCCGTAGGTGTTGGTCTCAAAGTCCTCGAAAGACAAGACACCAGTTCCGGAGGTATGGATGAGATAGGTCTTCTTTCCGCTGCGTGTGAGGCCAGCAACCAACGCATTGGCGGAAGCCACGTGGTCGCAGTCGGCGCAATGGAGGACGATGTCTGCATTGGACGCCTCGGTAGTGAGCAACTCGGTATCATCAAGGGTGCCGTACACAAGACGGGTCTTTGGGTACTGTGCTGCAACCTTGGCTCCTTTGTCGCTGTTACGAACAAGTGCGGTGATCTCTAGATCCGGATAGGTGTTTGCTACTGCGTAGAGGGCATCGCCTCCGATATAGCCAGTGGCACCGGTGCTGAATCTAGTTAGCACTCAAATATCTAGAATCGAATACAATTGCATGTCGTCCATGTTCCAGTCGTCCTGCATGAGTACGCATCTGAACCTACATGAAGAGCTTCGGCATGATTAGAGTTTAGATGAGATTGTGTTGAGAAGAGATTTGTAGAAGGCAAGAACACAGTCGGTGCCGATGCAGATATATGCAAAAGTCGCCAGGCTGCTGTCGCTTTGAAATCGCGTTTGCCTACAGCTCCACCTGGGCACAACTAGCAGGAACGTACGTCACACATATGTACCGGTAGCGCGAACGTCCAATCGGTGACCGTAAGGCAGGCTGCATTGCTTACCTACCTAGGTAATTTCTATGAGTCTGCACATCTCACTGCATTCGCAACATTACACACCCTCTTTCATGCTTCCTCATCATATTGATTGCGACGTGGACGTGGACAGTCTTGCGGTCTTGATCCACATGTCTGGTGAGACGCCCCGCAGTGGCGCACCTTCCCGGGCAAGAGCTTATCCGCTACAAGCACTCGGGGCTTTATGTTCGATGAGATGGTGCAGACAGACTGGACATATGTACCAGAAGTGCATGACAGGGCGTGAGCTTAGTTAATGGATGCAGCTCCGAGGAGCTTATACCACAGCTCCTCACAATTGAGCCTCGGTAAAGTAGAGTCAACTTACGTCATCCACCTAACACTACCAACATCTATACTACTCCTTGTCCGCCGTCTGAGCATTGTATTCGCGAAACAGGTAAACATCTGATCTTGTCAATTCCTTTCCAAAATGCCGCTCTGCACACTCCATCTCGTCGCCCTCCACAGCACCACACCCAATCCCATCTTAACCTTCCTGTCCACCCTAAAGTCCGCCAACATCTCACCACTCGTCATCTCACGCGTAGTCCGCTGGATAATCCTCCCATCGAAGCTCTCAACCGAACACCTCCTCGCCCGAAACATCCACTGGGATCTCCTCCTCATCCTGCCCAGCACCGACGCGCTCCCATCCTCGCTCTCAAAGCTCGTCCAACACCACTGGAGCGTAACAGCCGGAGTCCCCTCCCGCCTGATCCAGGACTTTGCATCGAAGAACCAGAAGCTACTGCATCCAGACCCTAGCTCCGTACCCAAAGTCCAAGAGCAGAAGAGCAACAAAACCACTCAATCGAGCCAAAGTTTGGAGCTTAGCGATGAGCTGAATAAATGGATCCAGACTTTCGTCAACAGCGGCGCTAAAGAGGGCAAGGGCGCGGTATCCATGTTAAACCTCCTCGCCTTCAACCCAGGGATGAAGGAAGAATACCTGAAATACGGTGCCGCATTCGCCAAATCCATCGGCTCCAAGCACGGCGGCAACGCAAAGATCGTGGGGAACGCAACACATGTCAACGGCTCGGCGATCACCAAGGCGTCCGACAGCAGCGTGGGTACGAATGGCGAGGTGGGCGGCGGGAAAGATGACTGGGACGAGATTGCGCTGGCGCATTATCCCAGTATCTTGCACTTTAGGGACATGTTAGCGAGTGAGGATTATCAGGAGGTTAACCACAGGCATCGTGTGCCGAGTTTGAGGGATACGTGTATTCTTATGACGAGTGAGATTGCGGTGGAGGAGTTGATTGGGCAGGGTAAAGGTGGAGCGAAGCTTTAGAATGGACTTGATGGCGTTGCGCAAGCAATAATATCTGTAGCAGACTCACTCAATTGTGAGGCTAGATCCAGAACACGAATTCTGGTTTGCGTCGATAACTATCTGATCTTGCGACTGCTAAGCTCCGGACAAGGCCGTACCGTGATACAGCTTCTCGAAGCTCATACCAGCTCATCATGTATCTTACTTAGGTTGCTTATGGTGGAGCTCGTGCCGTACTCAGTGTAGCGCCCAAATATTTGCAACCAAATCGACTGATACCCTCGCATCAGCCCCAGAGGATTCCCAGATCAACGACCCGGCTTGTCATACAAACCGAATAGACATCGCTGAAAAGAACGCCGCAGAGACCATGCCAGATACCCCAGAGCCTTCTCAGGTATCCACATCAACAAACAACTCCCGAAAAGCCAGCCGTCCAATCCCCTCTCCCGGATGTCCCACCTTCTCCTTCCCAGCCCTACCCTTGCGTTTACCCCATCCACCTCTCGCACTACCAACATCCGGCAACACCCAATTCTTTTTGTCCTGCTCAGCAACCCACTGCTCGCACAATGCCTCCGCCAGCTCGACCTTGCGTTCCCAAACTCCTTCATCTTCGCCTTTCACTTTGAGTAGAGCAGGTGCTGTGCTCCTCTCCATCGTCGAGGAATCCATAACTTCGGATGCGAAGCGTCGACGCTGGAGGAGACATTCTTCAGCACGGTTGTGTCGCTTACAACGTGAGCATGAGGGGTAGGTTCTTGAGCAGGGGAGGCCGGAGAGTGTGCATTGGAGACAGGAGGTTATCCAGACTGGTCGCGGCTCGTTCGGAGGAAGAGTTTGTTGAGGGTCGAGATCCCATACAGTTGTGAGGTCGTCTGTATCCGTGTGTGAGGCTACTTTCTGGTGATCTAACCTGGCTGATGGCTTGCTAGGTCGAAGAGCAAAGGTAGGTGGTATAGGTCGTTCAAGTGTGCGCTCTTTGCCCTGTGTCGGCGCCCAGTCACGGCTATCGATACTCGTCGTGTCGGAACCATCGTCTCGTCTCTCCAAGTATGGGGTTGGACTGCCGAACAGATCCTTGCGGAGTGGCTTGTCGAAGATGCTCTGCCCGGAGAAGGACGTGTCGGTTGGCGATATCTCATCTTGCGGTACAGAGCGGTAGTCCGATCGCCGAGGTGGTGTAGTTGGTCCATAACCTGCCTCTCCATCGGTATCGGTGGTGCACTCGCTTCCATCGATCTCGGCGCCCTTGATGTGCAATTTGTCAAGCCATCCCTCGATGCGATCAGGGTGTTCGACCTCCTTCTCCAGCATCTTCAACGGAACAGACATGTCGAAGAAGTCTACACCGATTGGAGTAGATCTTGAAGAGTTGATGATGGTCAGAGTCAAAGAGTAGTGAAGGTGACGAGGGCGAGAGGATACGGTGATAATGTTTCACGGTGAATTCGACCACGCTAGTCCGGACGCGTCGAGGAAGTGATCCATGGATACCGCATGCTCGTGTAATGCGGGGTAACGAAAGTGGAGATGTAATCAGACACCGTATGGCGACAGACAGCTTGTAAGTTCATGTCTCGGTTGCGTATTTCGGCGGTCACTGTTCATCTTAGCGCCGATCAACCGCTTCGAGCAAATAGCTCTTCAGTCTGGAATTTGAATGGAATCTCCCTAGATCAGGTATTGATAAGTCCTTCGATATACTCAGAGCTCATGTGGAGGCTCTCATCGTCGGCTTTAGCTGGTTCGCCTGCGTTTCGAACATCCAGAAGGATGTCATGGTAGATCAAGGGTTGTAACTTCCCTGGTACCCAGGTAGTGTACCGAACGTTTGCGGGTCGATAAACCTGCAGGCCAAAACGCCAAAAGAGTACGCACATGCATCGAAGTCTCTGTGAGTAGGGTCACTTGTAGTACACAGAAAGACCTACTCTTCGTCGCTGTCAAGTGTCGCCCGTAGATTACGTGCTGTTCCTCCTTCTAAACAATGCTCGAGCTGCTGCCTCCTCAAAAAGAGCGCATCATTTCCGAGTCATCCCACACCGAAGTGACCACAATCCCGTGCATCCGCGTGCTTATACTAAGCATCTCAAGGCCAGCAGTCTCTGTTGTGCTGTGCAGCTGCTCCCTCAAGTAGTTGATAGCTGCATTCCATCCCAATCTGTAGCGGTTGCAACTTCGAATGCGCTTTCGACATGCTTACGCAGCATAGGATGGGAAGGTGTATCTGTCGTACACTAGAAGGGAGGCAGCTCTGGGGAACTTCTGGCGGACGTTCACGTCATCGCGACGCGTCTCGGTAGTACGAGTCATGCTAGCGTGACGCGTACGATATCCCCGGCGTCAGCCGAACAGCCCGCCTCAGTTTCTAACATCAACCTTCCAAAGTCTACGCACATCACGTTGCATCGGTACACCAGCCAAAATCTAGCGCATCATTTTGATTCAATTGTATTATGCGAACGTTCAGTGTAATGTCATACTCCAAAATGCTTTCCCAAGGTTTCGTCTCACATCATCACCTATCCTGCTTTCAAGCAAGTCGTATCAGAAGAATGGCTTTCTCTTTTTCCAGATCAGCTCCCACACAGTTCATTCTTTGTTCTATAGTGAGACATATTGTATTGTCACAATGCGCGGTGGTCACCTCGAGGCGGCTCTTCGAGTGTCTTATTCTGTCCGTGTTCGACAGTGAGACAATCGAAGACAATAGCGACAGTCTTTGGGGCGAAATTAGTAATGAGTAGTACTAGAATCTATTTAAGCTAGATATAGGCGCGGTGAGTAGGTATTATTGTCGCGGTGAAGACGGTTTCTACTGCCAAGACTCGTCCGTTTGCCCTTCACCTAGGCAACGTCAACAACTCAAAATCTCTTCGCACAAATCTTTTTCCTCTTCTCCAACAGCTTCGTCACTATCCAAAACAGCTACATACCCAGAAACCCACCCACACCTACAAACAATCCCGCTCGCACCACTACCAAGATGGAAGGATATCTCCCTCAAACGCACTACGAGCCGAACGGCTTCCTCAACTTCGCCCTCGATATGGGCTCAGTCATGTTCGTTTTGCTTGCTGGCTTCATAGCGGCAGCATACAGCATGACCTCCAAGTCAAGCCCAGGTAAGTCTCATCACTCATTGGTCTTTGGGTAAATGATCTGACATGACATAGCACCAGAGATCAGCATGAGCAAGACCGAGATCCGGGATCTCGTGAGCAAGGCTGTACGCGACGAAGTCAAGATGCTCGAGATGCGCATGGCGGTGCGTGAGAGCCAGCTGGGAGAGGCCCTCGACATAGGCCACCAGCACGAAGCCCGCATTGCGGCGCTGGAAGACATGGTCGACAGAGGTGCGAGGGAGATGGACGCCCTTCGTGCCTCACTAAACAGTCCCAAATCACCATCCTCCTCCTCATCCTCCTCTCCCTCTCCCACCCCCTCTCTCTCCTTCTTCCTCTCGGTCCCTCCCTCCCCCGCCACTTCCGACACCTTCCCGGCCACACAATGGACCCCGTCTCCGCCGTCCGAGCATAGCTCAAGGGCCCACAGCGACCACCAAGAAAACTCAGATGACGACAGCATCTACGGCGCAGAAGACTACAAGTCCTCGCCGCGAGTCTCATCATCACCAGATCAGGCGCCTGAGGTATCCAGCCCTCAGCTTGATCCGGCGCTGGAAGATGAACTCGCTGAGTTGGGTGGTTGGGGTCTGGACATAGAGGCATCCGAGGACGTCAGTGATGGTAACATCACTGACCAGGACGCTGAAGGCGAGACAGACGATGAGTACGAGGCACCAGCAACGCCTATTCCGAGCGCTGGCAGTGAGACTTTGGCTGGACGGAGGCCAATCATACCACTGTCGAAGTGCAGGACAAAGGGTGCTAGCACCTCGCGTCTGGGATAGGTGGGAAGGTCTTCCGGTATGTTCTTGCAACCAAACCCAAATCCTTCATTATGCTAATTCACCTTGACAGGCGACAAGACACACGTTCGACACTCCGGGATGAAGTGACGCTGCCACAGATGCAGCGTCATAGTCCCGTCCGTTCACTTCCCGCGCATCAAGAAGCGCCTACAAACGTCGACCCAAAGAACGTCCAGTCCGGTATCAGCATCAATCTGCCGAGCCAAATCGAACAATCTCCGCCTTCTCCCCTCGTCATTCTCCAACCACGCCTCACTGCCGACCTCGCGAACGCCTCCCTCATCCACCATCAATCCTCTCCTCCCTCCATCAACACCAACAAACTCTGCACAAGCGGGCGTCCCCCTGGTAACGAAATCGAGAATGGTATCGCGCCACCTAGCAACCGCAGGTCCATAATGCGAGGGCAAACAGTCTTCATGCACGCCACCAAGCAGCGTCACAATGTCGAAAGTATGCGTAGCGAAAGCACCTTGCTCCTGAATTGGTCCTGGGAAAGGGTTCGGAAGATCGAAGACTTGAAAATAGGTTTCTTTGACCAGATCACCTTCCGCAATGCTCAACGCGGCCGCAAAGAAACCTATGTCGCTCTCAAAAAGGCAGATACGTTGGAGTGCGTCCGCATCATCAAGACCCCCCTCGATACCGTATATCTTCAGCAATTCGGCACCTTGTTCGGGAGACAGAACATCTTTGGCAATCTGCTCGAAGGCTTGAGCATGGTTCTTGCGACTGTCATCATTCCTCATCATATTGTAGGAGATGCCGCCGTCATAGGTAGTGGAGCCAACGATTTGAGCTTCGACAGGCCTCGCCCAGTCTTTCCAATCAGGAGGAGCGACTTTGCCCTTTCTAGCCAGATCCATGGTCGGCCGCTCGAAGGGAAAGAACTCGCTGTTCGTGCATGGCAAACCAACCCATGCCAGGTCTCGAATCTTCGACGCGTCAACGCCAATCACGTCTCTGGCTATTGATTGCGTGTTCCTCTCACTGCCGTCGTCTTCTCTTATACGAATCCCCAACTTCTCAGCATGCTTGAGGAAGTTATCGTGATGCTCGTCATGCGTCATTGCAGGCATGGTAACTGGCGTCCCCGAGAACATGATCGCGCGCTTGAACAACGGTTTACGCATTGTTTGCACCGAGATACTCTCGCTACCTGCGCTTTGCCCGATGACGGTAACATTATCCACGTCGCCGCCAAACCCCTCAACATTCTCGCGCAGCCATTCGAACGCCGTGTTTTGGTCGTAGAGACCATTGTTCTCCGGTACCATACCTCCAGCATGATCCGAATGCCAGAAGCCTAGCGCACCGAGTCGGTAGTTGATTCCTACGAAGACGATGGGTGATCCACGCTGAATAGCATGGCGCACAAGATTTTCGGGGTTGTAATATGGTCGATTCGCAGAACCAAGGAAGTACGCACCACCATGGATGAAGACAAGGACCGGCAACTTCATACCCGAACGTATCTTCCCGCCTTCATCGACACATGACTTCGGTAGATGTATGGAAAGGTTCAAGCAATCTTCCGACTGTTCTTCGTCATCCGGCAGATTATCGGTTGGCAGCGGGATGTTGGCTGCATCAGACTTGACGCTTCCCCACGGCTGGATACTGGACGCTCCTGGCTTTGTCGCATCGAAAACTCCATCGTGGAACCTTTTGCTCTCTCCACCAGAAAGCTTGTTCGAGAGTTCTGCGCGCGCAAATCTTTGGGCAACTTTCCCGTACGGCAGACCTAATATCTTCACGATCGAGCCGCTTGGTTCCCGCAGACATCTTATCGCACCGAGCTTCGTGTGGTTGAGGACGACGTTGGTCATTGTGTTCGTGCTGTTGTGGGTATCCCATGGAGGAGATGCGTACAGAGTGCGATACGTACATGGCATGCAAGAGTGGTGACGTCAGGAAATGGTCTCACTAGGCCTACCGCGCAAGTACGACGTAGTGAGCCCTTCTTCTGCGAGACATATCAACATCTCAAGACGGTCACATGTCACACTCAACGTGAAAGTGGCTTGATGCGAAGATAGACATTTCACGTAACCTGGTCGCTCCTCCCTCAAAGCGGTTAGCGACTCGGCCTCGATGCCGGAATTCAAAGATATGTGCACGGCAGCCATCCTATACCCATACGACATCAACCAGATATGTACAATCCACGAATTCTGCGGAACCTTCCATGGAGTCGAAGCGAATAGCTTGAGCGTGTAGCAAATAATTGTTCCTGCGCAAGCGACACCAGAAACCAGTATGGCGGGACCACGCTACCGCTCCCATGGTTCCTCCTCTTCGACTGCCCGGTCCGCGAACATGAAGATTAATTAATCACGACCCTCTTTCCATGACTTGCAAACGGCCTTAGCTGCAGGTTCTTATCTTTCATGCCGTATAAGGCTGTACTATCTTTCGCGCCTTCTTCTTCCGGTTAGTGGTGCTGCTCGCTTCTACTCTCACCAAGTCAAAGCTTGAGCGCATATCAAAAAGCTTGTCGTCCCACCGACAGCTTGGTCAAGCACAATTGACGAGTGCTCTGCGTTTAACCGGACCGGATAACAGTCTACAGAAGCAAGATGTTGAAGAATTTCCTCCTCGCTTCACTCGCCTTGGGCGTGTCGGCTGTTCCCACAACTCGGCACTATGTCGAACGCGACTACAACACCAATCTCAACGTCAAGCTCTCTATTGAGAGTGGTCTTCTGGATGTTCCCACCGATGGCCGCATTGTGTTGATGTTTGCTCCCGAAGGCGAAGATCCCCTCGACGATACAGATGTCACTTCTTCCCCCAACAAAATCTTTGGAAAGAATGTATACAACTTCGGTCCAAAGCAATCGGTTTTCTTCTCTGGCGGAAGCAACAACAGTACCGCTACCGGTGTGTATGGCTGGCCGAACGTCAGCCTGAGCGACATCGACCCAGGCACCTACAGTGTGCAGGCTTTCCTCACCCGCTATGAGACTGTCACGAGAAGCGATGGCTCGAAGGTCAGCGTCAGATTCCCATGCGGCGATGGCGCGCCAAATGTCAACGGCTATGGAAGCTTGGTCACATCGGCTCAAGACGTTGAGATCTCCGAAGGCGGCCAGACTATCGACTTGACTTTCAACAACATTACAGCTGTCGAAAACTTCGCCGGCAAGGAGATCGGTGGATGCAACCAAGGCAACTACGAAGACACAGATACGCTCAAACACATCAAGATTCGCAGCAAGAAGTTGAGCAAGTTCTGGGGCCGCGACATGTATGTTGGTGCCAATGTCGTACTGCCTTCTGGCTACGATGCAGCCGACAAGAAAACACGATACCCCGTCATCTACAACCAAGGTCACTGGCCGGCCGGCGAAGGCGCTTACAACTATGGCACCGATGAGAAGTTCACAGCAGCTTGGGATGCGGGTATCATATCCGGCACCAACACAACCGCAGCGCGACCGGCACCCAAGTTCATCATGGTGACTTTCCGCCATGAAGCTCCATACTACGATGACTCGTATGCCGTCAACACTGCCAACCTTGGTCCTTACGGTGATGCCATCAACGAAGAGCTGATCCCTCATCTTGAAGACACTTTCAACACCATCCGCGCACCATATGCTCGTGTCCAGGACGGAGGCTCGACTGGTGGTTGGGAGTCGATTGCCAACGTCATCTACCGCCCAGACCTCTTCGGCGTGTGCTTCTCTTCCTACCCCGACTCCCTGGACTTCCACCGCCACCAAGACATCGAACTCTACAGCGCTGCTAATGCATACCAACGGGCAGATGGTAGCTCCGTCCCCAGTATCCGCACCCACACTAACGGCACGGAGGTCATCCTCGCTACCGCCGCGCAGGAAAACCATTGGGAGTTGACCTTCGGCACATCATCGCGGTCATTCAATCAGTGGGATATTTGGAACGCCGTCTTCGGAGTCCAAGGTTATAACAACTACCCTCTCGAGCCCTGGGACAAAGTCACCGGTGAGATCTACCCCGAGGCAGTCGAATACTGGAAGCCGTTCGACCTTAGCGACTATGTCGTCACCAACTTCAACTCTTCCCGCAACCTCGGCGCTGCCCTCGCTGGACGTATCTTCGTCTACGTAGGCACTTGGGACAACTACTTCCTCAATGAAGGTGTCATGGAGTTCCAGAAGCGCACCGATGCCGTTGGTGGAGCCGGCTGGGCCAATGTCACAATCCTACCCGAGAAGCCCCATGGTGGCAACTACCAAGCACGCGAGATCTGGGACTACCTTGAGTTGGTCGAGCGATGGGTCCAAGACCACGCCCCCGATGGCCCTACTCCACTCTCGCCTTCGGCCACTGCTCCCTCTACCCGTGGAAATGTATGGGAGGATGTCATCAAATACGGTGGTCGCAAAGCAGCCATCAAGCGTCAAGCCGACCCCAAGATCGAAGACAAGAAGGTCAAGGTGGGCCAGGAGGTTACTGCGAGTGTTGGGCGTTGGGATCCGGGTGTTAAGCTTACTGCGCAGTGGATCTTGAACAGCAAGCCTGCATGCGAAGCTTTTAGTGTAGAACAAGGCGCGAGCGTGAAGTATGCACCAACAGCAAAGGGCCATATCCAGCTACATGTCACAGGAGAGAAGCGAAACTACGCGACTGAGACGAGGAAGAGTGAGCGAGTACTCTTGGGAAGGTAGTGGGATACCAGGAAATAGACATAGATCAATCAGTATTGAAACACCGTTACACCGCATTGCAACTGTGTGAGCATTTGCGACTAACCTATTGCACACAAGGACCTGTGGGGTCATACTGGAATTTCCCGCATAATACCTGCCCGCGATGCTGGTGTTCCTGCATCCGTGAAAGCCCATGTCCAGGATCCGGCGTCTCCCCATTTAGCACGGCGCCACTTCCGCGTAGGCTAGCTCGGAGATTTACAGCTCCACTTTACCTCACCGAGGCAGTAGTGTCAATGAAAGTCTCTAATCGATCGTCGCATTCACAAAGATAGAAACCCAGCATCTATATCTCGAGAAAGAAAGGAGTGAGACAGAAGACTCACGCAAGCTAGAAGCACAGTAGCCCAACTCTACAAATCTGACCGCCTACACAAAGTTCACAACTACAAATCCTAGCCCCAGGAACCCACACCGTCTCCCTTTCTCCACGTCGCGACCTAGATGCGCGCCGATGGCTCGGTCTTTATCGCCGTCGCCGAAGAATTACGACCGTTGCATCTGAGCACAGACAGAGTTGAACTTTGAAGTGCTCACCCAGCGTCAGCAGTAGCGGTATTTGTGTGAGTGCAGCCGTAGAGTATCCAGATGCTAGGACCATGCTAGGCGCACGAAAACGAGGCGGTGGGTAAATGCGCCGACCAACAGACCGCTCTTGACGTCGTCTTACGAAGGGAGATGGACATATAAGACGGTCTTGTCATCGCTTTCTAGATATCCCTTTCCCCATCCCCATCACTCCCAACACAACAACACCCATACCCAACCAATCACCAACCAACCCCCAAAATGCACTTCAGCACTGCCCTCTTCGCCCTGGCCACCGCCGCCACCGCCGCAAACGCCAAAGTCTACGGCAAATGGAACGTCACCATCACACAGCACGCGCTCGACTCCGGCTTCAAGTCGCAGAGGCTCCTCGCGGACTTTGTGTCTGACGAGTACTCTGGCACGAACGTCATTCACACCGTCTGCGACTACGAGTACGATCCTAGCAAGAACCCCATGGAGAGCAAGAGCTGTGATCCTCCTACTTTTGACTATGAGTATGACGGCGAGAGTAAGTTTATCCTTCCGGTTGTGGCATCCTGGTCTCAGGGTGTTGTATTTGTAGAGCGAAATGCTAATATGTGTATAGCTGTCAAGGTCCAGCAGAACATCGAGAAGCCTAACAAGATGACTGTCTTTGGTGATGCTCCTCTTACTCTCAAGAAGGATGAAAGCGTTGAGGGTGTCTACTCGAATGGCGTCTTCATCGACGCTGACCGTGCCACCGCGTAAGAATCTCAGTCAACGATATCCGGTATAAACAGTAGACAAAAAGAGGAGGAGACGCTTGTACATACGAATAACGAAACAAGAAGCATAATGTAACGAACTTTGATTGACACTACATTGCTACTCACTAAGAGCGCGCCTACGCTATTCCCGTGATCATGTACACCCAATACTCCTAATAACCCATCAACTTACGCCGCCTCCCATGAAGAATGTAATGGATGTGATGGTCTGAGGAATGAAAACGCCTTTGCGCCCTGGAAGTCGAACAAGAGATGCTGAGTCGAAACAAGATATGGGGAGCTACTATGCTTCGCCGAAGAGCCGAGCAGTGATGTCCCCCATGTAGGCTTCTTCCAGCTCGTAGTCTTCGCCGCCCATGCGATCGATACCAACATACTCAAACGAGGCGACGACGGCGTCGACATCAAAGCCCATAGCGACAAAGCGATCTACCAGGTCCTTGTTGTAGCCCTTGTACGCAGCCAGCTTGGACTGCTCTTCGTTTTGTTTCGCCTGCTGGGCCTTCTTCTTGATGGACGCCGCTGTAGCTCCCCCGCTTCCTTCAGCAATCTCCTTCCGCGGCGCACCAGCGAATGTGACTGCCCACTCGCGTGCCTTGTGTTCGAATTCGGCGGGGTTCCTAAGCAGCATGCCGGCGACTTCTGCGTCTTGTGGGTCCTTGGGCTCGGGTGTGCTGAGCAGCGATTGTAGCGAGATCAGAGCGGACTTAATGGTCAGAACTGGCGACCATTGCGAGGAGAGGGTGTCGAGGCAGATGGCGCCCTACTACTGTTAGCTTTCTTGAACGGTATCTGGGAATCTTGCTTGCTACGTACTGTCTGTGAGCTGACATTGGGGTGCCAGATCTTGGTCTCGAACTTCATGAGCGGTGGGCGGAAGGGGTATTCGCTCGGGAT